TTTATATTTATTTATATTTTATTTATATTTTGTTTATATTATATTTTTATTGTTGTGTAGTTTTATGTACACTTTATTATTATTTCTTTATTTACTTATTTATATATTTATTTATTTATTTATTTATTTTTATTTATTTATTTTTTTTTTTTTTTATTTTTATTTATTTATTTGTTGCAGTTTGTATATCAACTAAAGGAGCCACCCACCGATAGAAAGCAAATTTAATTATTTTTTTATTTTATTTATTTTATTTATTTTATTTTATTTTATTTTATTTATTTTATTTATTTATTTTATTTATTTTATTTTATTTGTTTATTTATTTATTTGTATTTATTACTTTTATATTTGTTGCATAGTAGACAAACCAAAGGAGACGATAGATGCACTCTTTGTTTCTTTTTTTTTCTGTTTTTTTAATTAAAATAAATAAATAAACAAATAAATAAATAAATAGACAAATAAATAAATAAATAGATAAATAAATAAACAAATATAAATGTTTATTTATTTATTTATTTATTTATTTATTTATTTATATATTTTAGTGCAGCTTAGGCTGGTGGTAGACAGACAAAGGAGACGATAGAAACCCCGAAAAAAGGCATATTGTCTCCGTTTTTTTTCGTTTTTTAATTAAAATAAATAAAAAAATAAATAAATAAATAAATAAATAAATAAATAAATGTATTTATATTTATTTATTTATTTGTTTATTTTGGTTTATTGACGCTGGATTTAGTGCAACATAAGCTGGTAGTAGACAGCCAAAGGAGACGATAGAAACCCCAAAAAAAGTAGCTTTGTCTCCGTTTTTTTCTGTTTTTTTAATTAAAATAAAGAATATATATATTTATATATTTATTTGTGTTTTATTTATTTGTTTATTTAGGTTTATTGACTCTGGATTTAGTGCAACTGAAGCTGGTAGTAGACAGACCAAAGGAGACAGCTGAAGATATACAAAGTGCTCGCTATGCTCGGCGTATACTCCCACTAAGAAGAGACGGAAACTATCTCCTCGTTACTTTATTAACTGCAAATGTTGCCGTCAATGCGGGCTTCTCTCTCCTTCTTGGGGGGCTTACAGACGGGTACGGGGGGTGTTTATTGGTGGGGTTGTTGTTATGGGTGGGGTTGTTGTTTTCGGTGGGGTTGTTGCTGTTAGTTCTGTCTTTTTATTTGTTATATTCATTGTTTTATGGTGGTTCGTGCTGCTGCTGCTGCTGCTGCTGCTGCTGCTGCTGCTGGCTTCTCTCTCCTTCTTGGGGGGCTTACAGACGGGTACGGGGGGTGTTTATTGGTGGGGTTGTTGTTGTGGGTGGGGTTGTTGTTATGGGTGGGGTTGTTGCTGTTGCTGTTAGTTCTGTCTTTTTATTCGTTATATTCATTGTTTTATGGTGGTTCTTGCTGCTGCTGCTGCTGCTGCTGCTGCTGCTGCTGCTGCTGGCTTCTCTCTCCTTCTTGGGGGGCTTACAGACGGGTACGGGGGGTGTTTATTGGTGGGGTTGTTGTTGTGGGTGGGGTTGTTGCTGTTAGTTCTGTGTTTTTATTTTTTATATTTATTGTTTTATGGTGTTTATGGTGGTGGTTGCTGCTGCTGCTGCTGCTGCTGCTGCTGCTGCTGCTGCTGGTGGCTTTTCTCTCCTCCTCGGGTAGGGTGGGGTTGTTGTTATTCTTCCATTGTTTTTATTGTTTTTATTTTATTGTTTTTTTTATCGTTGTTGTTTAGGGTTTAGGGTTTAGGGTTTAGAGTTTAGGGTTTATTTTTTTTTGTATTTCGATGAGTTTTGTATATTTTTTTTTCGCGTTTTTTGCTGCTGCTGTTTCTGCTGCTGCTGCTGCTGTTGCTGGTGTTGCTGCTGCTGCTGCTGCTGTATATATGTGTGTTGTTTTATAGATTGGTGGGGTTTCTGGTTTCTACTGTTGTTATTACCCTTTTCGGAGAGATAGTGCCGCAGGCTGTATGCGCCCGCCACGGTCTCCGTGTGGGGGGCAACCTAGCCTGGTTTGTTTGGGGGCTTGAGTGGCTGCTCTATCCCGTTGTTAAACCCATTGCTGCTGCTCTTAATTGTTTATTAGGTGGGTTCTTGTTTATTTAGTTTTGTTTGTTTTTTTATTACCTACATAAAGATGTATTTATCTATATATTTATGTATTTATGTATTTATATATTTATTTTTTTGTGTATTTGTTTGGGGGCTTGAGTGGCTGCTCTATCCCGTTGTTAAACCTATTGCTGCTGCTCTTAATTGTTTATTAGGTGGGTTTATATTATTTTTATTTATTTAGTTTTATTTGTTTTGTTTTTATCTGCATAAAGATGTATTTATCTATATATTTATGTATCTACATCTATATTTTTTTGTGTTTTTGTTTGGGGGCTTGATTGTCTCCTTAGTTAAACCCATTGCTGCTGCTCTTAATTGTTTATTAGGTGCGTTTATATTTATTTAGTTTTATTTGTTTTATTTGTTTTGTTTTTATCTACATAAAGATGTATTTATCTATATATCTATGTATCTATATCTATATAAATATATATTTATATATTTTTATTTTTTTATATTTATATATTTATTTTTTATTTATTTTTTTGTTTTTGTGTTTATGTGTCCTTAAACCCATTATTTATCAGTTGTGTTTTAATTAATTAATATATATTAATTTATTTATATACATGTATCTATATATAAAACAAAAACTAAAATAAATAAATAAATAAATAAATAAATAAATAAATAAATAAATATATATGCATGCAGGGGAGGACCTGGGTACAACATTTGTTTATATAAATAAATAAAAATAAAAAAAAATAAAAAAAAAATATATATATATATACATGCATGCATGCATGCAGGAGAGGACCTGGGTACAATATTTGTTTATATAAATAAAAATAAAATAAAAAAAAAAAAAATATATATATATATATATATATATATATATATATATATATATAT